AAAAAGGTTAGGTTTTGTTTTGATATATAAGTTGTTCGGGTTTTTCATCTGAAAACAACAACATTAATTTCTTGACGACCAAATACATATATACGGATTTCATGATTTAAACTTTCTTAAAGGCATATCTTATAAAAATCGCATTTTTTTGTGTTTTTTTGCTAATCTGATTAGTTTAATATTTGGTTAATAATTTTTGTTTTTTCTATTTATGTAACTTAGACAGCTGAGGAGTGGGAAAAAGTGTTCCTCATTGCAAGTTTAATCCATTTTGGTGGAGTAACCTTCTACGCTATCTTCGCCTCTGGGGAACTCCAAGCATGGGCAGAAACTTCAACGAAAGACCAAGGTCCTTCTTGGAATCCTCTCGAGAACGCGTTTAAAGACGAAAATCAGCAACAAAACGGTGACGTCACAGGACCCATCTCTATTGCGGGAGTCAAACAAACATCGTATGGTGCGACAGTTGATAGTCAACAACCAGTATTTGACACGAAAGAGGAACTAGTACAAGCGCCACCAAGAGATCGATATATGCACGGAAGTGTCGAAGACAGAGAATATTGAATTAGTGGTTAGTTTTTAGATGTAAAATGCCAAAGCAATATGAATGTTTTGAAATTATTATTACTATTATTATCATCAATAAAACGCATTTATGTTAACATTTCTCTGAAAAACAAATGTGAGCTGACAATGATTAATAGACTACAATCTGTTATATTGAATGTTGTGATAATTGTTGTCCCTCCAGTTTTCTTAGTTATTTCTTGTAGATATGTTTTATGATATTGGTGTTTCTGATTCAGAGGGAGAATTCTATATGAAAAATAAATACACACAAACCACATTAATTATACATATTAAAAGCATTTAACGCTTTTTTTTTCTCTTTTTTTGCTTACAACACAATTTTGTAAAAATATATGATTTTTATGTATGAATATTCATAAAAAAAACTCTTCCTTCTCAACTGGATTAAAACAGAAGATTAGGCCTAACTCTTAGATCAGTGTTATTTACAATACACGCCCCTGAAGGTGAAGTAGTGTATTTAAATTGGAATGACGTGGTGTTGTAAAAGTGTTATATATATGTGCGATGTAAAAATTGCGTTGTGAAGTATAGATGTGTAGACAAATTGTGATAATGTGCAGATTATATTATATTGTTGTTTCCAAATTTTCTCTAGTTCATAAATGTCATTTTGTCTGTGAAATTTGGATACAGAAACAGGAACGTATGATACAAGTCTTATTACTACTTTTGAAGTTTTACAAAACAATGGAAAAATTTCAACTTTATCTTCTGTCGGCTCCAGTTGTTCAAACTTTATCGATTAATACTATTGTTATCAGTCACATAGATATTTTTAGCAGCGTGTGACTTGACCCATGAAAAAAATTACAATATATATATTTTTTTTTCTGAACTGAATTAAAGTCTAAAATGATATAACGCTTGTATGAAGACGTAAGCTCGAACAGTAGCCTTTTATGTTTCTTCGAGAAAATGTAGAACATTATTGTCCACATAAATAGGTGATTTAGATACATTATTTTGTGTTTTAAGTTAGTATTTTCGATCCAGCTTAAGATGCTTCGTTGTTTTATTTAAGCGGCATATATATACGAGTCCAAGTTGCGAGACATATCTATATTGTAAAGTTACGTTTAAATTTAAAGCACAGCGGTATATCTGCGAACATACAACGCTAAAAATCGGGTTTCGATACAGCCCATTGTGTAGCTTTGTGCTTAACTTTTAAAAACAAAATAAACAGAGCTCTTAAGCTTTAAATATACGTTGCATTTGTTTAAATTTAAGCTCCCCTCATTTTAGTCAAGAATGTCTTAAACATTAAGAAGATGTAAAACTTCCATATATCTATTTATTATACATACACGAATAAAAACAACACTTTTTATACAACAATAGACAAATAAACTGATCGGAACTCATTAATTAATTTTGTGCTTCGTTTGTCCGAACTAGCTGAAGATTTGTAAAAAATATTTCTTTAAGTTGACCAAAACATTTATTAAATGAAATAGTCTCCATTCTTATCAATGATGCTTTTCCATCTTACAATCAGATTATTAATGCCCTGATTAAAGAAATCACTTGGCTTTGAAGCAAAAAACCTGTCGATGCCCTCTTTAACACATTCCATATTTGCATACGTTTCCCATAAAGATGGTGTTGCAGCGAACGAAAAATATGGTAATCTGATGGTGATATAGCTGGAAAATATGGTGGGTGGGGAAGAACATCCCAACCCAACTTCATAATCTTGTGTTGCGTCAAACGAGCCACATGTGGACGTGCATTGTCATGGAGAAGAAGAACACCTTTCCGATTGACCAGTGAAGGGCGTTTCTGATGAAGGGCTTGATTTAAACGTTCCAGTTGCTGACTATAGATCTCTGCTTTGACAGTTCGCTGTGGATTGATGAGTTCAAAATGAATTACTCCTTTGATGTCCTACCAAATGCAAAGCATCAAATTCTGCAGATGGAGTCCAGGTTTTGAGGTCGTAAGTGGTTTTTTTTTTCTTGTCTAGGACTGAGCCATTGTTTTTGGCGTTTAATATTCGCATAGAGAATCCATTTTTCATCACCGGTGACAGTTCTGTTTGAAAATGGTTCAGGTTAGAAACGATGATCATCGGAGAGTTCGTGAGGCACCCAAACACTTTCTTTATGGAGTTTTCCCATATTCCTTATTTGTTTACGTATTGTTTCATGTAAGACATGCAATTCCAGGGCCATTTCACGAGTGTGTTGCCTTGGGTTAGGCTCAAGAAGCGTTTTCAGAGCATCAATATCAATTCCAACATGTCGGCTCCTGTCATCACAGTTTTTAAGACTAAAGTCACCTTTAGTATACTAAACTTTACACATCATATTATGCTACACTAACATAACTTTTAGGCGGTTCGTTTAACTGTTATACGTGATGTACGTTTTTTTGGGGGTGGTTAATGAAAGTGTTCCAAAACGCGACATTAATTTTTTGACGACCTAATATTTTACATAGAAAATGAGTGATTTCACCTAATGTTTTGGTCACTTTTTCTAGGCTGAATCTTTTGACAAAAGCAACAACAACAAATACACTTACTCAATATACTGTAGTATTTGGGCCCCCTACATATGGTGAGCATTAAGTAAATAAGTCAAGAGACTTATTTACTTGTTTGTTTTGAATTTCGCGCAAAGCTACACGAGGGCTATCTGCGCTAGCCGTCCCTAATTTAGCAGTGTAAGACTAGAGGGAAGGCAGCTAGTCATCACCACCACCCACCGCCAACTCTTGGGCTACTCTTTTACCAACGAATAGTGGGATTGACCGTCACATTATAACGCCCCCACGGCTGTGTTCAAACAGTCAAATACGTATAAAATGTTTTCGTTGCTGTAACAATAAGTAGCATCAATCATTGTATATAAAATAATAGTAAAATAACATCTACAAAATATCCGCAAAGGAACTTAAAAATTAACCTTGATGGTATTTACCTTAAACAGTACTTAACTGACTTGGATTTGGTCTTAATAATATATTGTTTAACTCTCAAGTTGCCCGGCATGGCCAGGTGGATAAGGCGCTCGACTCACAATCTGAGGGTCGCGGGTTCGAATCCGCATCCCACCAAACATGCTCGCCTTTTCAATGTTTCCTGTTTGGTAAATAAAGGTAATGTTTCCTGTTTGGTAAATAAAGGCAATGTTTCCTGTTTGGTAAATAAAGGCCATGTTTCCTGTTTAGTAAATAAAGGCAATGTTTCCTGTTCAGTAAATAAAAATAATATCTCCTATTCAGTAACTAAAGGCAATGTTTCCAATGTTTCCTGTTCAGTAAATAAAGACAACATCTCCTGTTCAGTAACTAAAGGCAATGTTTCCTGTTCAGTAAATAAAGGCAATGTTTCCTGTTCAGTAAATAAAGGCAATGTTTCCTGTTTGGTAAATAAAGGAATGTTTCCTGCTTAGTAAATAAAGGCGCCTTTATTTACTGAACAGGAAACATTGCCTTTATTTACTGAACAGGAAACATTGCCTTTATTTACTGAACAGGAAACATTGCCTTTAATACTTTCTTGAAATTCGCCCTCAGTTTGTTATTCTGATGAAGTTGATAAAATTTAATTCGGTAATTTTATATATTTAATGCATTTCGGTAAAAGTGTGTGTGTGTGTGTGTGTGTGTGTGTGTGTTTGGACATGATTCAACGTTTTCTTTGGGGTCGAAAGTCAGGATCAACATGATCGTTTCAACAATGTCCTCAACATATCAATTCTCTCCACCGATTCTCATGTCTAAATGTTTTATTTTTTCAAATGTTCAGTTTTCCATCGAAGGGCGACTGTTTCCTGTGATCTAATATACTCTCCACCGATTCTCATGTTCTTTTGTTTTTCTAGATGTTC